CCAAATTAAACTCACTGCAGCCTGGCATTGCGCAATGGTGGCTTAGTGGCAGGATTCTCACCTTCCATGCTGGAGACCCAGGTTTGGTTCCCAATGTACCTCATTCGCAGCTGCCACCTGTGGGCCCCTGAATGCTCAGATCTGTGTATGTTGCTGAACAAGTTTCACTGAAGCTTCCCGGACTCAGATGGGCTGAGAAGCAAGGTTTCCTGATTTACTTCCAAAAGTCAACCAAGGAGAACCCTGTGATCACAACAGTCTGCTCAGGGACCCTCTTTGGGGATGGAGCAGCAGGACCAGGCAGCACTTCATTTATGGTGTCCCCTCACATCCTGGGCTGAAGCTGCTAACAACAGGTCCTTGCTTCAGGCCGGGGGTGGGGAATGCCTGGCCCCTGGGCAGTTTAAGACCCATGAAATCGTCCATACCCACTAACATCACATGCTTCACCGAAGAGAAGCCATTCCAGCCATCACATTGCTGTTTGTTCAGTGCCATCAAATGGTTTTTGATTCCTGGAAGCAGACTGAAGCACCCCCTGGTCCTATGTCATCCTCACAGTTGTCCCCGTCTTTGCACCACTGTGTCAATTCATCTTATTGAGGGTCTTCCCGGTTTTTACCGCCCCTCTACTTTACCAGCGATGATGCCCTTCTCCAGGGACTGGTCTCTCCTGACAACATGTCCAAAGTATGTTAAGATGAAGCTTTGCCATCCTTGCCTTTAGGGAGCATTCTGCTTGTGTGTCTTCTAAGACAGATTTGTTCATGGTATGGTCAGTATTCTTCGTCAGCACCATATTTCACATACATCCTTCTTTTTTTTTTTTTTTCCGGTCTTCCTTATTCAATGGCTGACTTTCATATGCATATGAGGAGATTGAAGATGCCATGGCTTGAGTCAGGAGAACATTAATCCTCAAAGGAACCACCTTGTTTTCCAACATGTTAAAGAGGTCTCGTGCGGTGGATTGACCCAATGCAGTCATTGTGTCGTTAGAGCGCTTGGCTGCCTCTTCTGGGCGCACTGATTGTAGTTCCAAGCAAGGTGACATCCTGGACAACGTCCATCTCTTCTCCATTTATCATGATGCGAGTGTATCATTAGGGGAAAGTTCCTGTGTGACCAGTACGGACCTCAAATAATGTTATACATATCCAAATGGCCCTTGGCAGAGAAAAAGGTTACACATCCCAATTCTAAGCTTCCAAGCTGCTGACCCTTTTCTTCATCGGTCACTGACGCCCTCCCGCACTGTCGCCTTTTGCCTATTGCGATTCATTTCATCCTAATCCATTTGCCATCCCTGTCTTGCCATGTTCTTCAAACCTTCGTTGCTTCATGTATTTCTCTGGTACTTCTTGATCCCCCACGACCTTGGCAAGAGGGCAACTAGCACAAACCTTGATGGCATTCTCATGGGACTAAAAGTTTAGTGAGGGCTACAGAAATGATGAAATTGGCCTCACAAACACAGGTGAACTGGTGTGATGGAAGATAGGGAGCATGCTGGGACAGATAAGGGTGGGAGCTGAACTTGCAGAGCATAAATAATGTCAGTGAACTTGGAGAGTTGCTGAAGGGGCCGATGTTCACTACCCTATGTATTTGCTGTGAAGTGTCGAGTTGCTTCTCGACATGTCCACCCCACATGACAGAGTCTGGATGCTTCCTCTAGAGTTCTCTAGGAGCCCTGGTCATGTAGTGGTTACAAACTGGGCTGCTAACTGCAAGGTTGGCAGTTTGAAACCATCAGCTGCTCTGCAGGACTTTCTACTCCCATAAAGATGCTACAGTCTCAGAAACTCCCAGGGCCAGTTCTACCCTGGCCTCTTGAGTCGCTGTGAGTCAGAATCGACTCAATGGTGGTGAGTGAGAGAGTTTTCCTGGCTGGAATCTTTATGGAAGTATATCGCTGGGCTTTTCTCCCAGAGACCCTCCGAGAGGGTCCAACCTGCTAACCTTTCAGTGAACAGCTGAGCACTTACCCATTGTGCCACCGGGGCTCCTGATCTCAATCTTTGCTACAGTAGTAAGAGTTAAGAGGAAGGTGGGAGAACGAGACCTCGGCTGCAAGGCGTCCTTGAAGGAGTGAGCTGAAATCTGAAGGGTAGATGAGACTCAAAAGGGGCCAACTTTGTGTCATGGTCAAGAATGGACGCAGCTTGGTGAGGGTGACAGACTGAAGGCCGTCTGTGTGGCAGACCCCCAGGCAATGTGTTGGCCTGTGAGGAGGAAGTGTGATGGGGCCACAGGGGTTGGTGGTGGCGGTTGGGACTCTGGCCCTTACCTCGGGGGAAGAATTTAACCAGAAAGAGGATATGGTCACATTTCCTGCTCACACAGTATTTTGTTGGCACCCTGCGTGGGGTGGGGTGGGTCTCCTCTGAAGACATTTTGCACGCTTGGTTTCTGGCTTCCAATTCCAACCTGGAGCGACTTGAGGAAGTTCTGCCTCTTTGCCTTCTTCCCAGCAGCCTGTGACATAATTCGATAAGTGCCAGACAGCCGGAAGTCCGTCATCCATCACAGGGATGGAGCCCGCCGGGTCCCTGGGTGTCACAAGTGGTCTTGGCCCGGCTACGAACCTAATGCGGATGATTCGAACCCACCCAGCCAGAGTCACCAGCGAAAGAGGGCCGAGTGATGTGCTTCCAGAAAGAAGATTCTTGTTGTCAATTGCTGTCGGGTCATTTCTGACGTATGGTGACCTGTGAACAGTGCGTGATGGATAGATAACAGCTCCCTAGGGTTTTCTTGGCACCTGACAGTGCACCTGAAGGTTGACGGTTTGAACCCCCTCGTCATGTCACAGAAGAAAAGGCCTGGCGATCTGCTTCTGGGAAGATTACAGCCAAGAAAACCCCCGTGGAGCCTGCTTGCTCTGTAACGCATGGCGTCACCAGGAGCAAGCATGGACTTGATGGCAACCAAGTTTGGGGTCATGGCCATTAGCCCCTGTTCTGGACACTCGGTTGCAGAACCAACCACACCCGGTGGGAGGTGCACAGACTCTGACTCCAAGGGGCTACTTCGATCTAGAGTAGCGAGAACCACCTCCCTGATTTCCCGAGTTCAGCCTCCTGCTGAACAAGCTCTGGATTTGGAGAGCCCTTCCGGGATGAGGTCTCGATTGAGAGCCCTTCAAGATATCGGAAGGAGCCCTGTGGTGGCATAGTGGCTCCCCATTGGGCTGCTGACCACAGGTCTTCAGTTCAAAACCACCAGCCGGCCCTCAGGAGCATGTGCTTTCTTCTCCTCTGTAGTCACTGACTCAGAAACCCACCGGGGCAGTTCTACCCTGCCCCCGATGGCTGCTATGAGTTGGAATTGGCTTCCTGGCAGTGAATTTGGGTTTAAGGGTTTTTTGTTTGTTTGTTTATTTTGTTTTGTTTTCAAGAAACAGATGCCAAATGGCATAGAAAGTGAGGAGCCCTTTCATAGGGAAAACAAATGGCCAAGGAGGGCATTTCAGCAGAAGAGATCTAGTAACTGGGGGAATGTCCGGTCAGAGAAGCTTAGGACTGCTAACCTGAAGTTGGAGGTTCAAGCCCACTAGCTGCTCCACAGTCAGAAGATGAGACGGTTTGTTCCCATAAAACTCCACAAAGGGCTTGCAAACCCCACCTAGGGCTCCCATGAGTCTGAATCCACTCAGTGTCAGTGAGTTTGGGTGTTTGGGGTTTCTCAAAAGGCTCATCTGCTTGGCAGAAGAAAACACATGAACCAAATTCACTGCCATGGCGTCCATTCTGCCGCATGGCGACTCTAGGAGATAGAGTTCTAGATCTGCACAGGTGGGTTTCCAAGACTGTAACTGTTTATGGGAGTAGAAGCCAAGTCTTTCTCCCTTGGAGAGGCTATTGGTTTTGAACTTTGACCTATGGGATTGCAACCCAATGTGTAACCACTATGCCACCAGGGCCCTATAATCATTTTTGTGCTGACTTCTCACCTTCACCCTGTGCAGTAGGGATGTGAGAGCCAGATGTTGCAGAGAAGGAAACTGAGGTACAATTGCCAAATCATATGGTTGGAGCCCAAATCTTGCTCTTTGTTTCTCAGTGTGCAGCCGCAGGCCAGCTACTTAGGAAGGAAATGAAGGGAACTCTCCCCTCCCCCTTCCCCCTTCCCTTCTTGGCTGCCCCCTACACCCCTGCAGAGGACCTGGTGCTGAATAGGGAATTGTTCGCCTTTCCCCTCCAAGCCTCTGAATGTTGATGTTTTGGGTCATTAAGGGGCTTGGAGATGGGGTGGGGAGCAGGTTACGACCCCAGCAAAGGCCTGAATAGCCATTGTTCGCTTTCTTCCCCCTTTGAATGGGATTCTGTCCCCACTCTTTGGTGTCTCCCTCTGGGCTGGCGAAGGGGGTGGGTCAGAGGCCTGGAAAGGAGAGTCTTTTCCCAGCACTTTGATGGATGGAGTTTAATCCGACATGTGGACATGGCAGCCTCCTGGGAACCCGCCCCGGCCGCCCCCACCCTCCCAGGGCTGGGCAACGTGTGCCTGGATGCTGACACCCATGAAATGCGCTCCCGTTGGAGATGGTTATAAATTTGGGTTTGGGGTGCGTCAGAGAAAAAGAGTCAAGGGTTATAAGCTTCATTCCCTTCCATTTTGCTGGTTGCTTTTTGTGTGCTCTGGGTAATGTGTCCCCACTGTGAGGAAGCCCCTGTAATAACTCTGGCCTCTTTCTATAATAACTACGTCTGAGGAGCCCTGCGGGCACAGTGGTTACACTTTGAGCTGCTAACTGCAAGCTCAGCCGATCGAAACCACCATCCACTCCTCGGGCAGAAAACCAGGGCTTTCTACTCCCGTAAAGAATTAATGGTCTCAGAACCTCACAGGGACAGCTCTGCCCTGTCCTGTAGGGTCACTTTGCGTTCACTCGATGGCAGTGTTTGGTTTTGGACTTCTTAACTGTTTGCCCATTAATGGGACACAAGCAAGTGTCACCGCATGCTGTCTCTGACCCTCCACTCTGTTTCATTCTTCAGGGACCCTCCGCCCAGTTCGCCGCAACTACTACAACCCATCATCGGCCCCTGGGAAGGGCGTGGTGTGGGAGTGGGAGAACGACAATGGCTCCTGGACGCCCTACGACATGGAGGTGGGCATCACCATCCAGCATGCCTACGAGAAGCAGCACCCCTGGATCGACCTCACCTCCATCGGCTTTAGCTACGTCATTGACTTCAACACCATGGGCCAGATCAACCGGCAGACCCAGCGCCAGCGCCGCGTCCGGAGGCGCCTCGATCTCATCTACCCCATGGTCACGGGCACCTTGCCCAAGGCTCAGTCCTGGCCGGCCAGCCCTGGCTCGGCTGCCTCGCCGCCAGCCCCGCCTTGCTCCTGTCCGCAGTGCGTCCTGGTGATGAGTGTTAAGGCGGCCATGGTCAACGGAAGCATTGGGCCCCTGCAGGCTCCAGCAGCCCGCAAGAACATGCCCCCATCAGGAGCAGTGAAGTTGCCCCAACCGCCAGGCCCTGGGGCCAAGCCACCAGATGGGTCAGGCACCATCCGGGGTCCCCTGAAAACGGCCCCATCCCAGACAAGCAGGCGACAAGCCTCCAGCATGCCAGTGGGGGCGACTGCAGGCTCTCCTGCCAGCCCCCCAGGGGCCAATGGCAAGACCGGAAGGGTGGCCCTGGCGACCTTGAACCGTACCAACCTGCAGCGGCTGGCCATCGCCCAATCCCGGGTTCTGATCGCCTCTGGGTAGGTGCTGCCTGACTGCCTTAAGGCACTGTCTCATGGTGGGCTTGCTAAACCCGCTCTGAGGCCCTGAGGCTGTGTGACCTTTCTGAAGCACTGATTCCAGGCTTGTCTTCCAAACAGCCTCAGGGTAGTTTTGAACTTGTCTTCCTCTCAAATTCTAGTCCAGGGCTTACCTGTTTGTGACACTCAGGGACTCCACCATTTCAAACACAGGGCATGTCTGTTCTGGGTCAGAGAGTAAAGGAGTCAGGGTGGGGGCCAGGACTTAAGCTCTGTCTCTTGGAGTTCAGGGCCATGAGTTGGAATTGCTTCGGTGTTTGGCAGGGCTGGCCCTGACTCCCTGGCTGCAGGTGGCACATGAGAAAGGCCAAAGGTTTGGCCTGTGGGCGCCAACCCCAAGCCAGCTGTGGAGTCAGTTTCAGCGCATGGCGATTCCATATGTGTGACCGAACAGAACTGCCCTCCATGGGATGTCCAGTGACTGATTTTTTTTTTTAGGTTCAATCAGGCCTTTCTTCTGAGGTCCTTCTGGGGGACCTTTCCGTTGTAGCCCAGGGCATTCGCCCAGAGACTCCTTGGAGTCTAACAGATCTCGGTTCTAATGGAAACTTTGCCTCTTACGAATCAGTCACTCTTGGCCAAATCCCTCACATCCTAGAGTCCTCGTTGGTAAAACCGTCGACAGGAACGTGCCTATTAGGGTTGCTGTGAGGATGAGGACACAAGGACTCTGTGGTGTGAGTGTGAGGGCACTGGGCCTGGAGTCCAGAGGCCTGGCTATACTGCTCCTGCCTCTGCCACTTGGTAAGACACAGCATCATTGCGTTTCTGGTTTCTTTCTGTGTGAGCCAGGGATCGTCTTACTTGGCTCACCCCAGAGAGTCATTGTGAAAAAACACCCCGAAGGGAATTTACCCCTTGGCGGTGATCCATGTGTGCACAGCAGGCTGGTCCCACTACCAAGGAAGGCCACACAGCTCCTGTGTGTGTGGGCCACACCCAATGGGGTAGCCACCAGGTTGTGGAGCCCTGGTCACTGCTCTTTGGAACAAAGCTCAGCTCCTCCCACCCATGTAGGGACCCTACACCTATACAGCCATGTTGCGGGTTCAGCTCCAGACCAACTGCCATAAAGCACATGCTGCAATCAGGTGGGTCACACGAAATGTAGGTGTCCCGGTGCACATGAAAGTTAGGTTGACACTGGGCTGCTAACCTCAAGGCCTATAGGTCAAGCCCGCCAGCCGCCCCATGGGAGAAAGATGAGTCTGTCTGCTCCTGTGAAGGTTTACCGTCTCAGAAACCCTGTGCAGGGTGACTGTGAGCATCAGAATAGACTCAGTGGTTTGATCATCAACGAAGTGTGACATAAGGCAAACTCAGATTCCCACAGGAAGCAACCTTATAGGACAGGGTGGAGCTCTCCCCTGGGTTTCTGAGACTGTAACCCCTGAAGGTTCTCCAAAGTCTCATCTTTCTCTGCAGAGCATCTGGTGATTTTGACGTGCAGCCCAGTGCATAACCCTACTCTTACCACCCCGGCTTAGGCACCACTTAGAGTCACGGTGCTGAAGTCAAGGCGGAGCAAGGGTCTAGCCCCCACCCCAACTCGGGCACCCTCGACAAATGCCAAGTGCCCTCAAGCCAGAATTGAGGGCAGGGCTCCCCAGGTTGCTTTGACTCTTAATAAGGGAGTGGGCAGCTCTGTCTGTCTGTTCTTTATTCCCTCCGCTCAGCCAGTCTCTCTGGAGCTGGAGAAGCGGGTGGAGGGCTGGGCAGTGTAGCGTGAAGAGTCTATAGAAACTAGTTGGTTTTGCTGCCCACTCCGTTTCCCCGGCAAGGGAAGCCCCTTGCCCACCCTCTCCATCAGACCACCTCCCTCACTCCCACGGTCACCCTCTCCTCCAGCCTTTCTTAGCCATTTAATTGGCATGTTTCTTCCCTTTGACTGGCTC